GAGCGAAAGGCAACGTCATACTGTGTCACGGCAATGTTCATATCGCTGCACGGATTCCCTACAAGTTTTTTTTTTTGTTTTCGCCTTTGGCCGGGTGTAACTTTGAATACACGCCAGTGTTGCGGAATTGCATACTTAGTATGGCCGCAGGGGCCATGGCCCCTTACGGGTTTAAAGAGTAGGCAGGCAAACCCGCAACACTGCCGCCTCTTCACAGTTACACTCGGAACAGCGCTAGCGAGCGTGCATACTGTGAAATGCTTGCGAACTAAATAATGCTTTGCAACGATACGAACAATTTTATTCTTTGTATTGCAAAGAAATTCTTTGTATTGGAAAGCAATTTGTTTGTAAGGCTAGGAATGTTCTTACCAACAATCGGTTTGCATTACGAACTATTAGTTCGTAATCGTAAGCTTACGAAGAACTAGTTCGTATTACAACGCTTCAAAGTCCTTCGTAATAAGCTACGAAGGTTTTGGTTTGCATTACGAACCTGTTGTTCGTAAGAAATTTACAGTGTGGTCGGCAATGTAACGACCCCCCGTCCCCCACCCTTTCCCCGCAGTTCTGCTTCATAATCACGCGTATGATCAGAACACAACACACACACACACACACACACGCGCGCGCGCACACACACCGCCGCGCCTGGTGAGCGTTTGACTGACGAGGACGTAAATGTCTCTCTCGTCTGCTAAACGTTATACGACCCAGCCACGCCGACGCGCTCCGAGTAAACAGAGTGCCGCGCCTTGTCGCCTCGATGTGCTGCTGGACGCCCCATCATCGGTACTAAATGCGCAGCGGCGCGTGACCACATGATGGCCGCGACGGAAAGTCGGTGCACGTATCATCATCCATACACCAACTCCCAAGGATACAAACGCAAAGAAAGCCGGTAAGTCAAGCTCTGATGAACGGCAGGGGTAGCCGATGCATCTTCGCCACGCCCCGCGACGCCCCGCCACGCGACATGAGCCACCCCGCCGGCCACCCTTGGCGCCGGCCCAAACACAACACAGCTTGTCGGGGGAGGGGGGGG